TGTCTCTCTTGATCAGTTTTGGTTTGAAATTTACTTTCTCTGTGAATAAGATTGCTACCCCTGCTTTTTTCCTCCACTGAGGATAGTTGGCTCCTTTCTCAAAGATGAGGTAGCTAAATACATCTGGAGTTGTTTCTGTATCTTCCAATCTACTACACTGATCCTCAGATATGTTTCTTTGCCAGTACCGTGCTGTTTTTATCACAGTGGCTTTGTAGTATTGTTTCAAGTTGGGGATTGTGATACCCTCCTGTTATGTCTCTGTTGCCTAGAATGACTTTTGCTATTCTAGGTTTCTTCTTATTCCTAGTTCTGTTAAATATACTGTCGGAATTTCAATTGGGATTGCATTGAATGTATAACAGTTTTGGAAGTATGCCATTTTACACTATGTTGCTTCTTCCTATGCAGAAACAGGGGATATCTTTCCATTTTCTTATATCCTCTTTGACGTCTTTTTTCAGAGTACTGTCAGTGTAGAGGTCTTTTGCTTCCTTTGTTAGATTGATTCCTAGATACTTCATTTTTTTGGATGCTATTGTGAAAGGAATTGCTTCCCTAATTTCTCTCTCAGTGAGTCTGTTGTTTGTGTACCAGAAGGCTATTCATTTCTGAGTGTTGGCCTCATATTAAGCTACTCTGCTGAAGGTGTCAATTAAGTCTAGAAGTCTTTTGGCAGGGTTTTTTGGGTCTTCTATGTAGAGTATCATATCATCAGCAAATAATGACAGTTTAAATTCTTCCTTTCCTATCTTTATTACTTTTATTTCTTTTTAATGTATAATTGCTGTGGCTAATGTTTCCAGAACTATATTGAACAGGAGTGGTTATAGTGGATATCCTTATCTTGTTCCTGATTTTAGTGTGAAGGTTTTAAGTTTTGGGCCATTTAATATGATGTTAGCTGTTGGTATTTCATAGATAGCCTTTATCAAGTTGAGATAAAGACCATCTATTCCATGTAAATAGGGAAGGGAGGAGGGGGTGAAGGGAGGGCAGGGGTATGGGGGAAAATGAGAACAAAGACCTATCATGTAAAAGTACAAGATCCCAATGATGAACATAACTGTACTGTATACCTAAAATGTACCAATGAACTCAATGAGAAAAAAAAAAAAGATCATCTATCCCAATTTTCTGCAGGGATTTTATCATGAATCGTTGTTGAATTTTGTCAAATGCTTTTTCTGCATCTATTGAGATGATCATATGATTTTTGTCCTTGACTCTGTTGATATAGTGTATTACACTTATTGATTTACTTATGTTTAACCATCCTTGTATCTCTGGGATAAATCTCACTTGTTCAGGGTTTATGATCTTCTTCATGGCCCTCTGTATTTTGTTTGCCAGTATCTTATTGAGGACTTTTGTATCTACGTTCATTAGGGAGACTGGCCTGTGGTTCACTTTTTTGGTTGGGTCTCTCCCTGGTTTTGGAATCAAAGTAACACTTACTTCCAGGAATGAGTTTGGAAGTATTGCTTCCATTTTGATTTCATTGAAGAGTTTGAAGAGTAGTGGTGATAGTCCTTCTCTAAATGTCTTTTATAATTCAGCAGGGAAACCATCAGGACTTGAGCTTTTCTTTGTTGGTAATGTTTTAATTACATTTTCAATTTCACTGAATGTAATTGGTGTGTTTAGACTTTTTATATCTTCTTCATTCAACTTGGGAAGTTCATATGTATCCAGGAATCTGCCCATTTCTTTTGGATTTTCCATTTTATTAGAGTACAGGTTTTTAAAGTAGGTATTGATGATCCTGTGGATTTCTGGTGGATCTGTTGTGATTTCACCTTTTTCATTCCTAATTGTATGGGTATGAGCCCTTTTTTCCTTTTTCCTTTTTTGACAAGGTTGGCTAAGGGTTTATTGATTTTATTTATTCTTTCCAAAACCCAACTCTTTGATTTATTGATTTTTTTAATGTCATTCCCTTAGTCTCCATTGCACTGATTTCTGCTCTAATCTTTACAAATTCCTCCCTTGTTTATAGTGGCACAGTATGTAATAGCTAAAACTTGGAAACAGCCCAATTGCCCATCAACTAGAGACTGGATAAAGAAGATGTGGTTTTTCTATAAAATGGAATACTACTCAGCCAATATGAATGAGAAACTTGAGTCATTCATAGGAAAATGGATGCATATTGAGACCATACTCTTAAGTGAAATAAATAAGACACACATGTGTAAATACTGAACAGTTTCTCTGGTGTGAAAAAGTAAAAGTGCAAATAAGATCCAAATTGTATAACTGACAATGTAAAATAGGAAGAAAAGGGCTAAAGTTCAAGAAAAGGGGAAGTGGGAAGGGTAGGAAAGGAAATAAGGGAAAAGAAAAAATATGAGAAAAGGAAAAAAAGTCTTTGTAAACAGGGGAGGGTGGAGGGGGTGAAGGGAGGGCAGGGGTATGGGGAAAAAATGTGAGCCAAGATCTGTCATGTAAAGATACAAGATACCAATGATGACTGTAACTGTACTGTATACTTAAAAAGTACCAGTAAACTCAATGAAAATAAACAAATAAATAAATACAAATAAGAGGAAAAGAAAAAAATTTAAAAATTTGAAGGGCTTCCTTCAGCTTATATCCCTGCTGTCACAATAGACATTGTGGACAGCAATGTGCATATCTAAGTCAATTAGTCTCAACAAGCCAGCTGCAGACCCCTGAGATTCAGGGTGATTTCTGGCTGCAAGGCCGAAGCTGAGCTCCCTGACCTCTTGCAGTATTAAACTCTGCAAGGTTCTACTGCATGCCCCAGTTACCCCTCCCCTGAAGATAGCCCAGGTTCTGATGTGAGGTGGTGATCCCTTCAACTTCCCATGTACAGAGGTCAGGTGTGCCTTTATCTCAGTTGTTCACTTCTGTTCTATCTTTTGGAGCTCCATACGGTGGCTTTTATGACCACCTGTGCCTCTGCAGTGTGGATCCAGGTACTGGCACAGCCAGGAGGTCCAAGAGCATCAGGAGAGGTGTGGCATGGATGGGATGTTGGAGCTGGGCCATCCTCACCAGTCTGCTCTGATGGAGGCCTGGGCCACTGCGGGCATTCTAAGCATAGATTTCTTAATACCAGGGTTCTTTTTTTGACACTTATTCTTTCCTCTTTCTACCTTTAATGCATCTCTTTCAAGAAGTACAATCAAGGCTACTTCTAATGAGACTCAGAAAATAATACATCCACTTGTTGGTCAGAGTCTCAGAGTGTCAGTCTCAGGAAGATGCAAGTCTTCACTGCCTCCCACCATGCTGGAAGCCTGTCCTTCTCCTTCTTGCCTGCTTAGGGAATTAGACTCAACTTGAAATGAACAGGGTTCTGTAACAATCTCCACTGAGGCTCTGTTTCTGATGTTGGCGGGAACTTCTCAGGGTACTTCTCTATTTGTACCTTTCAGGCTGGGATGTCTCTGTGCATCTAATATTGATGCTCTCTGCAGTGCTTTGGTGAATTGGTTAAGATTTAGATGCAGAAGGCTTCCAGAAACAGCACTCAAGCCCTTCCTCCTTTTTTTGGAACTTATCTTTCTCTTCTGTGAGGTCAGAAATTGGACTAGATATTTTTCAGATGGCTTCTAGCACATATATGGTATGTATTCCACCACATCATTAAGAAAATGTCAGGGGACATCATCAATTTTCCCAAGACCACATAGCAAAATTTGTAGAAAATCCTGTGCTAGAATTTAAGTGTATTCATGGTAAGAGCTTATTTTTGCAAAGAGAATTTCTTAACAAAGAATCCTGAAAGTGAGTTTCCAAAGCAGACAAAGTGCCCCTCTGCTTATACTCACTTCCTGAGTATGTGGTCACACTGACCAGAAGAAAGAAGATGTGGTTTCCATAGCAATTGATCCACAAAGCTCAGCAACCAACTTCAAAGTTTATATTTATAAATCATAGCATCACTTCTTATCCCACAGATATTTACAAGCATCTTTATCAATATATAAGTTCAAGCTCCATCATTCTTTAGCAAATTTCCCCACTTTTCTGAGAGTTGTTTGGCCCAGACATTCCTGAGAAATTACTACCTTTCCCCCTAGGGATGTCCATAAGTCAGTGATTGGCTCATTCAAAGATATCTGATGTTAAGAAGCACAGTTAAAACCTAAGACAATATTATTCTTTTCCAGTTACAGCAGGTGTAGAATTTAGGCCTTTTCTGTAGGCAAAATGGAACTGCATTCACACCCTTCTATCTGAATGGCACAGTCCAGACTATCTAGTGATACAGAGCAGAAGAGAGAAAAGCCAGAGTCAAACAATAGTGGTCTTACATTGTTGTGCCACATCTCTGGATACAGAAGCCTTAACCTAGGTGTCTAGATCTTATCAAGGCAGACAAGGTATCCAGATCACTGGTGGAGAGTAGGGAGCACTGAGTTGTGATAGGGTGGGGAAATGACTCAGGACTATTTTGTGTAATGCCATCTCTTCCTAGAAAATGCCTCTTCCTCATGGAAGTGAGCCAAAGAGAGGATGCTGTCCCAACATAGCACTCAACTCAAGGGAGTTGCTCTAGAGTAGTCACTATGAGGCAGATATGACTAAGGTTATGGGTGATCAGCTGTGTTTCTATTGAAAAGAAATAATGTTGGAAAATGTAATTTCACCTTGACTTGCTATATGAATTGAAAATGATAGAGTAGTGAACTATAACCCTGTGAAGTTATTTCTGCAGGTGCCTCTGAAGACATGTTGGGGAATAGCCTCTGCTGATTTCACTTAATGTTATCTTTGTTTTGGTTTAGAAGTCAAGATGACCTTGCTGCAGGCCACCACACCATGATTGGGGCTCTCCAAATCTTCCTGTTCAGACCCATTGACTCATCAAAGAGGAAAATTCATGATCTTTCCCTTCCTTCTCCTCTAGGTCTTTGCATATGCTCTTTTTACCCTCTAGAAGGGCTCTTCTCCAATTTTGCCACCACAACTGGCCTCCTATCTTTCAATTCTCAACCCAGTAACCCAATCCTTCTTCTGTCCTGAAGGTTACCCAAGTTGGAAGCTGTGGTAGGCTGAAAAATGGCCCTGAAAGATAGCCAGATTCTATGCCCTGGCACCTGGGATTATCATCTTATATGGCAAAAGGACTTTGCAGATGTTATGTCAGAGGCCTTGAAGTGAAGAGATCATCCTGGATTATCCAATGGGCCCTACATGCAATCATGTATATACTTACAGAAGGAAGGCAGCAGAGAAGGACTTGAACACGATCATGGAAGCAACACGCTCTGTGCTCTGCCGCCGGCTTTGAAGGCAGAGGAAGGCGTCAGGTAAAAGAAAGCAATTCTCAAAGCCAGATAAAGCAAGAGGCAGGGTCTCCCCAGAGCATTCAGAAGTGGGCAGGGGAGGGGAGGGGTGCCGCCCAAACCTCAGTGCTAGCCCATGGCTAAATTCATGTGCCATCCAGAACTGCAACAGATGGAATGTGTGTTGCTTTGAGCTACCAACTTGTGGTGATTTTGTAACAGTCATAGGAAGGCAGTGTAAAAGATTTCTTCTCTGCACTGTTGAAAGATTCACCTTTTACCTATTTCCAATGTTTACCAATTTTCATCAAAATTACTGTCATTACCATTTATTTTAGTCTATGTTCAAGCTTGACAAACAGTCCAGTGGCCTGTTCTTATTTAGACTTCACACAGCCAAAAGGGGTAGGTAGTGGCTAGCCCATTTGCCTGTATAGCAGTCAAGGCGGTAGATGGTACTTGAGGTTCTGGAGGTGCTCACCGACTAAGGTGACTTCTCAGCTGAGGAGCCAGATCCAGAACCCTGAAGGTACCCCAGCTAAGCAGCATTCTTGGCTCTGGAAGGTTTGTCTGCAGCCACCTCCTCCAACTGGCCTGGGTGCACCCCAAAGGCAGGGGCTAGATCTGTTCTGGCTGGGCATCCTCAGGGGCCCATACCAGGTGGGCTGAGTAGCCCCACTTGGTGTGGTTGGCTCGAGTGGAGCTGAAGGGCCCCGAGAGCCTCCTAAAGTCCTGGTACGCTTTGTGTCTTCTGAGGTTTCACATGAAGGTTCACTGAGCTTGAGCATGGGATGTCCTTTAGGGACTATGTGAGTCTGGATCTTCTCTTCATAGTTATTCCCAATACCCTCTGAGTCCTACCTTCATTCATCCATCCGTTCACCACAACAATAGCACACTCTATGTACGGGTGCTGATCTAAGCAGTGAGGCTACCCCAGGAAACAGGAAGATAATTTTTATGATGGCGTAGCTAATCCAAAAGAGATGGAGCAGACAGAGAATGAAATATTTAAAATGATGGAGTATTTTGACCATGAAATTATCAATAACCATACTAAGCTCAAAGCAAGAGGTAAAAGTAGGATCTGGGCCTCTTGGGAAGATGAGGAGGTAGTGTTTTAAGGTGTGCGCATCACAGGTCTCCCAGAGAAGGTAAATCCTGGCAATGATTCAGTGGAGACAAGGAGGTGAGGTTGGAGGGGAACCTTCCAGCACAGGGGCTGGCCTGTATGCAGGCCCCACTCTAGGACATGGCATGCTTTGACATATTTAGGGCCATGTGGCCGCAAGGGAATAGGAGAGGAGTGGCAGCTGGAGAGATGTGCTCAGAGACAGCAAGGCGCTCCTAGGCCCTTGTCAGAACAAGGAATTTCACTCAAATCTTACCTATCAGGTTTGGGTCAGAGAAATGACCTGGTAAGGCTGGAATATTAATTAACAGGTCCTCAGTTTTAGGTTACTCTGTCAGGAAGTCTTTCATAGCTCAAGTCAGGTGCAGTGTCCCTCCCTAGCCCCATCATCCCGGATCGGCTCTACTGCACCGTAACACTGTGCAACTGCCTGTGCCTGTCACCTGCATGCCCGGCCTCATTCATCTCTGTTCCCCAGAGGTAGGTACGGTGGTCTGCATGTGGTTGGTCCTTGGTACTGACAGTTCTTGGACATAGGTGGAGGACTGACTCCTAGCACTGACCCTGGTCTCTGGGACACAAGCAGAGTTCTCTTCAAAGATGAGGGAGGAAAGGAGAGGGGCCCTTTCAGGGCTGTGACTCCTGGTCACATCCCCTTTCCTGAGTAGGACTGGAAACTGGCAGGCTAAGTCTAAAGGAGTCAAGCAGTGCTGGTCCTGCCCCTTAGTCCCTTGTTAAAATGCCAGGTGCGAGCAGTAAGAGGGAGCCTTGCAGGAGGACACAGTGGTGATTTTCTCTGTAATTTTTTTGCTCTTCATCATTAATCACCTGATTGCAAGCCACCTCCTTGTTTGATTTCATTCCCCTTTTAAATGTATTATTACTTTAAAAATAACAGGAGACTCTGGGGCGGCTCAGACTTCCGTTTTCTGTAATGGTCCTGTGGTTTGGATAGAATGCTGCAGCTAGAACAAAAATTTAAAACAACCACACATTAAACATGTGGATTAAATTAAATGCTGGGCACATAAACATGTGTCATTTATTCTTTACAATAACCCAAGCAGGTAAGTTTGGGGATCATTTGGTCCTGCTCAGAGATGAGGAAAGAGAGGCACAGAGAAGGCATTTGATTACTGAAGAGCACACAGCAAGTGAGTAAGGAGCAGTCTGACCCCTGTTCAAAAGTCTGTGCTGTGGGGCCTCGGCTTCCCTTGTGTGGGAAGGGACTAATAACAATCACTATAGCAGCTTTTTACCAGTTGTGCCAAATTGCCAGGCATGGACGATACTGATGGAGGTCCTTGTGGGAGCATACACAGGCAGGGAATGACCCGAAGGTCCTGGGAGGTGGCCCGTGTGTCCTGGCTGCCCACTGTCTGCTGTGGAGCTGCTCACCATGGTGTGTGCTGCTGGCTGGCCAGGTGACTCGCCACGCCCCTTCTCCTACGGCAGGTGCTCATGTTCCTCTCATCCAAAGCAGTGCCACCAGGAGTGGCCATGATCTCTGTAGCCAGTTATACTGCAAACCACTACCACCTGGCAAACAGCTGTGAGGATGGCTGGAAATCCCAGAGAACCCCACGGTGGGTGGGGTTATGGGCGGCGTTTGTTCCTCCCAAATCCAAACACTGGAGTCCTAATTCCTAGTTCTTCAGGATGTGACTTAATCTGAAGATAGGTCTTTACAATGGAAAATTAAATGAAAATGAAGCTATTAGCGTGAGCACTAATCTAGGACAGCTAGATACAAGGCACACAGAAGGAGATGGTATGAAGGCACAGGGAGCAGGCGGGGTCTCCACTTTCAGGAGAGAGGCAGGGAACAGAGTCCTGGTTACCCTTGGAAGGCCCTGACCCTGTTCACTCCATGATTTTGAATTTCCACTCTTCAGAAAGTAAGAGATCAAAGACCAGCTGTGTGAGCTTTCCACTATGCATTGGTTGGTTATGGCGGCCCCCCTGAAAAGACAGGAGGAGGTGTGAACCAAAGTGGGGTTACTTGTGCTCAGAGCTGCTGTCCTCAGGCCAGGACTAAACTCTGTTTTTTTTTTTTTCCATTTAGCTTTGTCCTTATGGTTGCAGGAAGGCTGGTGCTATTCAGGGGAAAGAAGAAAGAAGCATGTCTTTTGGCGTGACATTATCCATTTTATTAGAGAAGGTCCACTCCCATTTGGTGTGGCCCAAGTTTTATCAGTCAGAGCTAAATCACATAGCCACTCCTGCTACAAGAGCTTCAGAAAAACATTGAGTGGTGCTGGCCAGACCTGAAAGGGTTTTAGCAAATAGGTAGGGGCAGGTGGTTATTGAGTCCACAGACTATAGCTTCTGCACTCTCCTTAGGTCACTTGTGAGACCGCGAAGCCATGAGCTTGTGTGGAGTGGCCTCACCTGGAGTTAGGCTTGCTCGCCAAACTCGTCTTCTAGGCCATGTGGCCTCAGCAGGGCACCGTCCCCCTGGCTGCTCTGCCAGCAGGCTCCTGGCTGTGTAAGACAATGAGTCATATTTATTTTCACGTGAGAAATCTATGGCCACAGGAGGCTGTCTGAGAACTTGCAGAGAGGATTGCTGCCATTAGCCATCAGCCTATTCTCCAGGGCCCGTGAATCAGCTCCTGGAGGCTGTTGACCCCTTATCAATTTTCAGCTTGCTCATTTATCCTCATGGGGCAGAGCCACTCACTTTTGTGTGAGATAGGGCCAACTAACCCAAAGCTACCCCTATCCCTAAGGTGCCTCCAGGACTATGGATATCTCCTTTCCAGGCTCCAGAATGCAGAGGTAGTCACTCACAAGCAAGGAGGGCACTGGTGTGCACCTTCACCAGGTGTGGAAAGTCTGGAGGTGGAGCTAGGACCCACAAACTCACTTGGAGGCCACTCTCTGAGATGTTTGCTCATTAGTGCTGCTCTTCAGGTTGGGTTACCTACCACCCAGTGACATTTGCATGCAGTGAACTAAAGTAGCATTCTGTTTGTCTTATTCTTTTGCTGTTGTTACATTTTAAAGAAGGTGGACAGAGCTTCTTCACTATATATTTTGATCTTTTTATAATTTTTTTTCTGAGCATTCTTCTTGCCAATTAGATTACCTTTGCATTTTTTTTTTTTTTTTGTCATCCATTTAAATAGCTGGCCCTGTGTTAGGCTGATCCATTTTGCATTTGAATTTGCAGTGAGAAAGTTCTCCTTGCCTGGGGGGTGGCTGCCAGTCACTGAAATGAAGCAGGGGCCTCTGTGACCCTCTAGGCTGTGCTTCCCACCCCCAGCACTCATCAATCCTTCTATTTCTCTCTCCCAGAGCACTGTACAGTGTTTCTTACTTTGGCACTGTGTACATCTTCTTTTCTGGACTGGAATTCACCATGGCAACCAACGAGGCTGCAGCCAAATCCTGTCACCTTGCTGGACCCCAGTTCCCTCACCAGAAGTAGAAACAACCCTCACCCTTCCTCCTTCCTTTGTGGGGCCACTATGCAGATTAAATGAGATGATGTTGATGAAAATGCATGGAAAATGAAATAAGAAACAAGGGAAGGATTGATTTTCGGTCTCCGGCTTCAGTACCAGAATTTGAAGTTTCCTATTTCCCAGCCTGAGGTTCACATTTCATCCAGAAAATCTGGGCACATTCCAAATTGTATTGGGTGCTAAGGGAATAAATAACCAGTACGGATACTTGGGGCATCCATTTTACACATTAGTTTTGATGAACAAAAGTTTAATTGATTT